TTCGTTGTGTACAGCTCCATGGAACACTATTTCAGCAACTGTGATTTTTCAACATATGCAGGGAAGCATAATCCAAGGCCTCTCAAAAATAACTAGTTACAACCACTAAGTACATGGAGGGGGGGGGAAGATAACTCATTAAGCACAGGTGAAAAATTATTACTATAGTGAACCATACAATGGAAAGAAATAGGGAAATCACAGAAACACTGAAGGAGGTAATTCCTCTTCTACCTATCCTGATGGAGAGAAGAAGAAAAGAAATTAAATCACACAAACAAAGTACATGATGACAGTAAAAAAAAAGATCAGCTAAGTAGCCAACAAACTCAAAGATTAAGAAGTAAATTAAGCTACTTATCTTAGATAACTTTAACTGAGGGCTGGTCCGTAGAGGATTCTCATAGAAAAGCTCTTCCTGGTATAACAAAAAAGAACCTAAATTCACATTTCTAATAGCCTCAGAAATGTCAGGTTCAAGAATCTTTTCATTTTTCCTAATATAAATTAAACACATAGATTAAATGCAGTCAGCATTATCACCAAGAATTTCTTCATAATCTATGCAAAAAGGATATTATCAAGCTAAAGATCAATTTTTGATCTGTTCTACACATACAGTGCTATCAAGTGGTTTTCCCAACTTGTACTGGAGAGATGAACTTTCAGATAACAGATCTAAAACAGCATCTAAAAATGCAGCCTTCCATTTAGATTAAACATAGCCAAGAAAAAAGCCAGTGGGCTAAGGTAGGAAGGAGACTGGTGATCAAATGACTGAGAGCACTTTCAATATTCTAAAAACTGGTGAATAATAGGTGACAGGTAAATGACCTTATGGAAAGAGGCTTCAATAAACCTCTTTCTGTTCTTTACAAAATACACGTTTACCTCTTCAGCCTGTTATAAAAAGCATGCCTTTAGTCCAAAGCCAAATTTTATGAGTTCCCTCATGCATAAGGCAATAGAAATAGGATATGGAGAGACTATATTTTGTTATACATTTTTTTTAAAGAAGAGTGAATAAAAGCCTTGCACTCAATTCAATTGCATTTCTCCGTGATAGAGTGTGAACACTGCACCTGACTGATTCCTAAATGTAATGAAACACTCTAAGTGGCAATGGGCAGCACTCTATTGCTTTTGTTAAAAATCAGAAGAGAAAAGTATGCCAAGCTTCCAGCATCCATTTAGGACTGTCAGCATTTTCAACCACCTCTGTAAGTCCTCTACTGATTCAAAGAGCCAATTGACACTACATAGTAACACCCTCCAGCATAATTATAATCCCTCTCAGCTTTGGCCACCTTCAAGTTTAAAATGATGGTTCTCTTAATAATTGCTCCATCAGGTAGAACATAAAGAAGAGCACACGAGCTGAAGCAGACTTAAGGGCTTCTGGTGGGGAAGGCTAGAGAGAGTGATGGACCCTGAAGTGATGCACACTGCATCTGCCCAATACAGGCAATGAAAACACACACACCCTAATAGTCTGGCTACATGTATGCATAAAAAAGGATGTATTTTCCTTATATCGAAACTACAGTATAAGGAAAAGAAACACCAAGAAAGGAAATGCCTTTGCTGGATGAACAAGCCTTTAATATACCACTGCATTAAGTGAGAAACAGATCAGAAGACTTGTGAGACAATGTAGGAACAGCCAGATGATCATTTTTTTCAGACAAAGACTCAGCTCCCAAATACTTCACTTTATTCGGCTAAACAGCTGCGTTAGAACTGTAAGATCCTGCTTTCAGGTTGTGTTTCTTCAGATGGCAGATCAAGCAATGACATACTGATGTAGCAAAACACCACAACATCTTTTTCTTTCCTCTCTTGAAAACCCAGGAATTTTAACATGAAACACAAAATAGTTTATAACTGCATTTCTTGGTATTCTGTAAATATTGCCTTCTCTACAAGAGTTACACCTGAAAAATGCTTAGCATGTACAAGGTAATTAATTCCTTGGGGCCTAATTCTGTATTCCTTATTGTGTACAACTTCTTTTGAAGTCAATATTAGTGATGTCATTTTAATTTTCTTCACATCTGCCATTCTTAACTTAGAAAGAAAAAACCCAGCCCTTCAATTCCATTAAAAATTCCTTTTTGTGCTGTTGGTGAGTTTTGAAAATCTTTCTCGGAAAATTAATATTCAGTGTACATATTAATAAAAACAGAGAGAGCAACAGAGGAAATGAGCAAACTATAACAAAACTGCTGATACTGGGTAAAGGCAAACCCTTTCAAGAACACATGCATTAACACCTTCCTGACAAGCAAAGACAGCAACAAAAATGATCTAATCCCATTTCTTTCCATTGCATGAACAGGAAATCCAATAACAGCAAAATTGGTGACCACAGGCACTGCAGCAGTACAGACAGCTCTGTCAAGCTTCTATTATATAGTGAAATTGTGAAATTAATTTCTGAATACCACACTCTGTAAAGACCTCCATGTCAGGAATTTCTATCCTTTATCTGTATTCTTTTGTCACACACACAGACCCATGTGAGTGATGTAATGCTGTAAGATTATAAAGAAAAATAACCGTTTCTCCTGTATTCATGATGAAAGGTCTGTAGAAAGAACCTTCTTTCACAAGAAAAATATTGAACTTTTGACTTTCAAGTTTTGATAACTTTATTCTATTTACATCTTAAAAATACATTGGCAAGCATCCTGTCTTGTTTGCAGACACTAAAGTTAAGGACAGCTGCAACGTGGCACACAGTATCTAAACCACCAGATTTTTGAGCAGGACTTGGCAGGGGTGATTTGCCTCTCACCATGTTTTACTGCAGAACGCCTGTCTATCAAGAAGATCCCAAAACTACCTCAATTGCTTATTTTATTTTGGAATATCTTGTGCCTCCTGTAGACTGAAGTTTTTTGTTTCACTCAGAGCTTTTTATTTTGCGTGGTTACGTATTCAAAAGATAGCAGCCCATATCAAATTGTGCAGATAAACTTGAGTGACAGAGATACTACTAGTCTGAAGGATCATAAAGAAGATGAATCTGATGAAATCTTGGAACAACAATGACCATGGCAACAAAATTTGTGCTCTTGATGCTAAGTTTTCAAAGTGCGTGTTAGAAGTACAAGGACAGCACATTATCAGAATGATTACAAGAATGTTGTTAATTATTTAGTGGATCAATGGAGTGTGTAAATCATTTCAACATGAAACAGCTTCCACACTATAAACCACAATTCATTAATGCCCAGCAATGCAGCATGCTTGAACGCAATTACATAAAATGAAGAAAGGTACACTGGCTGATAATATTTTGAAGTGTTAACAAGCCAACCCAGTTAAAATATATACAATTTATCTGTTAAAGTTTGATGAACAAGTAATTAATTTGGTTTTATATTTTACTTCAGGTTATACAAACTTCAACAGGTTTTTTTGCAGGCCAATATTTCTGTGATTTGCAAAGCAAGTTAAGCTACAGAGGTTATTTAAAATAAACGTGGCATCATAAAACAGAAAAGGTTCACTGCCTTTCATGGAGTAATTTATTTCTCCAAATAGTTATAGAGATGAAGAACAGTAATAGTTATTGGATAAACCAATCCATTTATAAGTTCAGTGTTGAAGAGGAGACCTTAAGTGCTATAAGAGTTGTGAAAAACTTGCCACAACTTCAGTTATTATTTCTTGTATTCCTCAGACATCCAGACATGAGGAAAGCCTCCAATTCTATGACCTTTGCTTTCTGTCAGCATTTTTCAGTTTGCACTGCCAAATGACCATTACAGTAGCATTTAGTGTTTTTGTTTCAAATATAATTTCAAATACACTGGTTGACATAAGAAGGTTTTGATTACTGAAAAATATATCACCTTAATAACGTCATAGAGATTTAGCAAGCCATTATGCTAATGCTATTCAGCTACTTGAGGTCTGATGAGATCTTTGATGTGATTAAGTTGTGTTAATTTACTTTCTAGTGTGCAAAACTGAAATGCATTTAACTAAGTGGCTTGTACGTTATGTAAAACATAAAACAGAAAACCTTCCTGTTACTACACAATCAGACTTACAGTAATGTCTGTGCTCTGGCATGTTGACGTACGATACATTAACAAAAGCTAAATGAAAAGAGGAAAACTATGCAAACTACTATTAACTTAAAGTAGAAAACTTCTTTCAGCATTAGTGTTGGATGAGAAACTTGCTTGAAGGCATTTCCTTTTGAGAGAAAAAGTATTACATAAATTCATTTCTGACCCACATTATCATCTTATGTTCACCAGAGAACCAAAATGAAGTTCCAGAAGCATGGTCAGTCATCTCTTCCAGCCACTGTCAAGTCCTTTTGTGATGGCAGGTAACTCAATTCACTTTTTTTCTCTCCATATGGACAAATATACACATGAACAAACAAACATTTATGTAATTATCTCCTACATATTTTATATTGTCATAGACTCACAGAACAGTTGAGGTTGCAAGGACCTCTGGAGATTGCCTAGTCCGACCCACCTGCTCAAACCAGGGTCAGCTAAAGAGAACTGCACTCAACTGGGTTCTGAATATCTTCCAAAAAAGAAAGTTCAGAATCTTTTTCTTCCTTTGCTTTTTAACAGAGAAAATTTTTATTTGAAAATAACTTTTTATGTAAGTTCATTGACTTCAGTTCCTTAAGTTATATCAAGTATACAACAGCATATAATATTCCTCAGAAACCATTCATGTTATTCTGAACTCTGAGTTAATCAAAATGACATAAATAATGTTAATTAAAGACTTCATGTTACATGCTGCATACAAAACATTTTAGAGATAAAGTTCTAAAGAAATATTGCTCTTATAAACTGTTGTTGACATATTAAATTAAGCATATATTTATGGTCTGGTTAATATATCAAACCTTTTCAATAAGCATCAATTTGAAGATTGTGTACAACTTATTAGAAAGCAATTTATTTTCCAGATTGCTATCTGGTGAAGCAGATTCTTCCCATTATCAGTCAACTTACTTAGTCTTTGAGCAGCCTCCAGGGCATCATTTGCAGAATCAGCTACAAAGAATCTCTGAACTGTAACCCCATGGTCTGCCATTAGTTTTTTGCTTTGGTACTCCTGCAGGTTCAGCCATCGTCTGGGGGTTAACTGAACAGCCTAGAAAAAACGAGAGGGGAAAATAACAACGCTCATTAAGAACAGTTCATGAGACAGCCAACTGAGCCCTTCAGCCTCACGGTTATCTCAAACCAGCAGTTAAACAACATTGTTTCAGAGAAAAGGAAAAATACATATTGATTTACCTAAGTGCCTTTTCTTAACATTTGGGCATTCAAAGTACTCTGAAAGCTAAAGATGTTTTTAAAAAGCTACACAAGGCTCACTAGGTGATCTTGGCTAGACAAAACCTCTTGCATTTAATATTAATGCAGACTGACAAACTTGGCTTGAACTCTGAAGTCTATTTATGTTTTTATGTTATCCTGTGCTATAAAAATACCATCAGACTGTCACCTTAAAACAAATTCATTGCTTCATGCTAAATATCCTTATTCACACTTAAATTTTTATATGCTTCTCAGTATATCTGAAAAGAAAAACAATTAATATGGAATTTGCATCCTTGTAGGAAATTTCCTTGTAGGAAACTATATATTAATATATGTATTTTTAGTGGTCTGTTATCTATGTTTAGTTGGTTGCACTTCTAAATATATTTTATTGAGGATGTTAGCACAACCATGTCAGCTATGCAAGGACAACAAGAGTCGGAGAAGAATTTACCTTCCATTCACAACATGCCAATTGAGATACTTGCTGTGCACACATACATATATATATATATATATATAAAAATGGATACAAAGATATGGCAACCTTACACACACACAGAGAGACATCACATTTGTTTGTCTTGGCCATAAACATCGAGTACAGACACTATAAAAGCCACAGGATCATTACTGAATGATTTTAAGAAAGGACACAGGGTAAATTGTTACTGAGAAAAGCAGCAGTCAAGGAGCTGTCCCTGACTCCTGGCAATGGTATAATGGCAAAGGTGGAGCTGACTCCTGGCAACAGTATAATCTCATTTTGTGCCACAAAAGATGTTCTTCCCACATGGAGAGACAAACTGTTGTCCTACTTGCAGGCAGCCCACAATCAGTTCTTGGTTTCTGCTGAAGTTCTTGGTTTTTGCTGTGCTCACTTGAGCACAGTGTGCAAGCTAGCATAACATATCTAAATATGTTAGACAAAGAGGATTATTTACTATACTAATGCTTTGATCCCTAACAGCATGATAAAGAAATATTATTCTAATGCAGCTTTATATTGGAAACAAAAAGCCTCCATGCTAAAGTCTTTCAATAATACAGACCCTTTTCACAGTACTAGAGTTTTAAATGCTGTGTTGTATCAAAAGCAAACCTCCGTTCTGTTCCTACTTGCTTTGAAACACAGCACAAAAGATTGATGCAGAAAGGAAATACAAAAGCCATCTTTTACAGTATATAACCACATGTTTTCTGTAAAAGTGTCTCCCGCAGAACTTAAACAGTTCCAAAGAGCTCAGAATGACACATTTTAAATTCTTTTAACCATAACCTGGTTAACATATTTTAGAAGAATAAAACAACCTATTGTCAGTATGCCCTATGGCTAATTGTAGGCATCATACAGGCACCTCAGGTAGGTTTTATAATCCTCCATGTTATTCACAGACAGTATGTTATTACATTTATGCAATGCCTTCAAATGTAGGGTCAAAATTTAAAGTCACTTCCATAATTGTTGACATTTAATTTGTTTTCCTGTTAGAAGTTGTCTGTTACGCTCTAACAGCTATTACTACATGATCATTTACACAAAGGGATTAACACCAAGAGCGAAGGAGGACTCTGAAGGTTAATTCTAGCCTCATATAAAAAATGGACAAAGAATTTCAACCAAAAGCTGATGCCACAAGCCCTTAGTTTCTATCAAGCTACAGAGAGCTTTCAGCATGGCTGGAGAAAATACCAGTTTTACCCCTGACAATCAATAACCTTCTCTTTTTCATTGTTTCTCTACTACCTCATAACAACAATATTATTTTTATTACAAGGACTTCAGAATACGTTATTGATACATGCATATAATCCATAGGTATATACACACACACGCAGAGAAGCATCACCTGAATCTCCAGAGGGAGCCAGGAGCTTACTACCGTGTTATTTGACCACTACCACAAGAGTAAAATACATTTCCAAAGACCTTCCTTTCAGCTGTAGAGCACCAGTGAAAAAAAACATCCAGAAGGGGATCAGAAGCTGACCGCATTTGCAGAGGGAGGGAGGGGAGGAAAGAGGAAAAACCAATACACATCTCCATCCCACTAACTGCTTTTTTGCCATTCTGCTCTAGTTAGAAGTTGCATCTGATGTGCACAGTCGTCCTTCAAAGCTCAGTGCTACAGGAGAACACCTGCAAAGACACTTCTCAATCCATTTCTCTTTACCAACAAAAAGAACATACTAATCTGACTTTCAGGGTTCAGAAAAATAAGCTCACACCTTCAGTTAAAGTGGATTGACTTGTACCAAAATAAAATAAACTAAAAAAAATAATCAATTCCAATTTAAATCTGAAAGGAAAATACCTCAATTTAAAAAATCAATTATACTTAAATTCTGTATCTGTACTTCCGAGAAGAAAGGTTACTTTTCTTTAGCTGGAAGTTGATTTGAAACAAAGGATCAGTCTACACTAAGTTTGAGAACACTTTTTGCTCATCTGTTATATACTCATAAATCTTTGAGACATGTCAAGCTGATCTTGGATAGAATTAAATAAATACAGAAAAAACAATGTTAAAGTTGCCGTATTAAATAAGAAGCTGAGTTAAAAGTTTTACTAAGGATTTCTCTTAAATATTTAAATATGTTTACTTACAATTTATTTTTCTCTTGTGCTGAAGTGTTTATTTACAACTAACTGGTTTACATAATGTTTTCTACAACTCAGTAATACAGCTGATAAAATTTTGGTCACTGGGTTTACAATTTAAGAAGTCTTCAAAACAGCTTTCATTCATCATCTAGAACAATAAATCAGTTTCACATGTATGTGTTACTAAACTGATCTAAATCAAATAAACAAAATGGAAAATATTCAAACAATCTTATTCTGGGGCAGACTTTTGTTGCTTTTGTTTGACAAAAGCCTCTTTCAACACAACCTGTTTTCAAATTTCCAGTTCAGGTAGGAATTGGGTAGTTAGGGAATGCGCAATGCAGCACAGCGTGTCAACAGACATCGCTGCTGTTACTTCAAACCAGCAAGGCTTAAGTAATAAAATCTTTTAAGGACCCTCAAATAACATGGACTGCAAAGGGCCACCACCTAATAAAGGCCACCAGTGATAACTCACAACACATGACAGATGGGGAACAGAGATGGCAGCAAGAAAAGCAGCTGAAGCTCTGTTTGTTATATGAAGAAAGGTCATGTCCGGTGCCACCCATCCGCTGTGCCAAACTCCAGTGCTAACTCAGCTCCAGCCTAGTTAATGAGTAAAGCAAGCCTAAGAGCTCCAACAGGAACCTGCAATAAGCTCTGTTCCCAACCACCCTCTTGGCATGTTACAAAAGCTTTTGGCATATATCAGTTTTACAACTTAAAAATATAACTCAAACCATTCCACAGGGATACTCCAAACCACTGCTGAGATGTTAAAAATCATATGATAGATACAGTGCATATATACAGAAGCATATGGACATAGGCCTGTTCTCTTAAAAAAATTAAACAATTAATATTAAGAGATTATGAGAATATTTCCTTCATAAATTATGAGCCTGACAGGTCTGAGGAACACAGAAAGGAAGTAAGAGAATAATTAACTTGAAAGAACTGTCAAAGCAGTCCTAAGGGTGACGAAACAAAGATCTGGCCACGCACTGTTGGCACAGAAAAGCAAACCCTACAAACTTAACGTCAGTAAGCACGTACTCTTTTTTTTCCTCTCCAATATTACCTGACTCTAAGACAGATCATCTTACTGAGTGCCAGCTGAAGACTTTCAATCAAGACTTTCCACAAAAGACAAACTCCTGGTTGTGAATGAACTACTCAATAAAATGAATTAGTACAGCCTACCACTGTATACAGGAGTACAATATATTTAAGAAACCAACTGTGACAAAGTCTGTATTAGAAGCTCTGAAGAGCAAGGAACATGAAAAATTTGCTTTAAAGGACTTGCAGTGTACACACCATATGTCTTGAGAAGAGCAAGCAAAATAAAGGAGTTACAAGAGATGAAACAAAGCAAAAGCTTTGAATCTGTGAAGACAACTACTCTTTCAAGACCAACTTGAAAAAGCAAACTAGTTGCAAACATATGCATTTTAGGCTTCAGGCACAAAAACAAGAAGTGACCATGAGATGTTAGAAATGTGAGTAAACAGATTATTCTTTGCAACTCAAAGATGTTTTGGTTGCAATAAATATGTGTCTGAATGATTTAAAAGGGACAGCAATAAAATAATCAATTAGTACAAGAACCTTGAAAAATCCTTGCCAGATGAAGTTCCCAACCCTCTTAAATACATTTAAATCAAACATTCACAATAATTTGAGATGGGTTTCAAATAGCCCAAGTTTCTTGGGCATTATAAATTTTCATGCATCCTGCAGATAAACATACACCTGAGACTGACCATAACAGTGCTGCTGCACAGAGGTACAGCCTTCAGACAGACCAGACAAGAGTCTGCAAAGTTTTGAAAGAAAGCCATTTCCCATACCTAGTCTTCTACAGGCAGCCACAATCCATCCCTTCCCCTTGAGACTTATTAGGAGGACACTTTAACACAGTGCAGAAATCAACTCCAGCATCACGAGCCTTTGTATTATTTATTTTCCCATTCGGTAGCTCTACTCTTGTCGACAATTTAATTCCTCTCAGCAGCACTGAGCAGCACTGCTGGATTCACCAATGCAGTCCTCTCTCTCACTAAAGACAGACCAAGGAATTAGGTTGTAAATTACCATCAGGACAAATAATTTCAATCTGAAAAGGGGCAGGAGGGAAGCAAGTAAAAGGGAAACTGAAGCCCAGGAAAGCAGAGGCTCCCTTTTAAGAATTTCTGTTCATTATTGAT